ACGCATCAAAATAGCGCACGATATTTGCGCCATGCATGGGAAATGCGCCTGTCGCAAGGCACAAATGGCCAACGCTATTTTGTTAATATGGTATAAATTATAATTAATTTTTTAAGGTTTGTACAATGTTTAAAATTGCGTAATCGGGTATTGAGGCATTTTTCGTTTGTGAGGTGAGGCGTAAGCCTTAAGGCGTTTTGAGGCTTACATTAAAAAATTGCGTAAACATAAAATGATAAATTTTGTATATACTAATGAGTAAATAATATATAAAACATAAAAATACACAAGATATCAAGTGAAATCAAAATATCCCAATAATAAGACAACATGAAATATAGTTAAACTCAAACTTCATCTTTCCAAATCACAATATTCTTTTCATTAACATATAATTCCAAAAATAAATAGCAATGACATATCACATAAGAAATCATAAGTCATTAGCACTGTCATCACCAAGTGGGTTGTAGATTTGTTCTCTGCATATTGATACTGAAAATTTAGGTAATAACCAATTGCAAGCAAGTACCGGTGAAGTTGTAGCTCCCACCTATCATCAATAATATTCCAAATTTTCTTAAAGCTACCCTCTTCGCCTCCTAAGTTGGAGGCAATCATTTTTTTGGCTTCATCCACGACATTGTAGATGAAACCCATTGCAAGCTTCTTTTCAGCATTCACCATCCTTAAAACTTGAACCAAAGGTCTAGTGGTTGTAATGACATATAAGATACTTTGCCAAAATATATCATTTAAAACAATATTTTTAATCTCTTTTTCCTTAGCCTTCTTCGCCCAAACACAACTCAACCATTGTGTAAATGTGAACATAGCCTCTAAAGGTTGTCTAGCATCGAGCATGCTCTTTAAGGTCAAGTAAGCGGTGGCAAATCTTGTTGCTGCTGGCCTTAGAATTTCTTTCTTTGAAAATTTTCTCATAAGAGCTAGAACCCAATAGTGGTTATAAATAAACTTGGTTATTTTTTTTGCTTTAATAATTACATTCTTATGTTGAGGTAGCTCCCCAAGCTTCTCAAGAATCAGATCTATGCAATATGTAACACATGAAGTCCAGTATAGATGTTTCCTCTTCTCCATAAGTTTGTTACCTGCAGTCTTGTAATCACTTGTATTATCTGTCACAACTTGTACAACCAAATGTTCTCCAATCTCCTCAACAATGCTATCTAATAATCCAAATATGAATTCAGCATCTTTGACCTGGTCAGATGCTTCAACTGACCTTAAAAACACAATACCATAAGGATTATTAGATATATATTTTATTACTTCCCCCTACATCCACATGAGTGTTATATTTCCATGATGGATCTTTTCTATGACTTGATGTAGCTTTATCCTTTCTTTTGACTATCCTTTATGAGAAGAATATATTAGTGCAATATATCGAATTCCTAAACATAATGCTTCACTTACTCTATATTCAGAAAACTTATACAAAGCATACACTCATAAAGAAGCAGACTAACACTAACAACTATTACTAAAGATGATGAATACAACAATATAGCGATCTACCGGGGGTCCAAGGGGGCGTTGCCCCCTGGCGCTGCCCCCTGGAGGGGTCCAAGGGGGCGTTGCCCCCTTTATACCTTGAGGCGAGGCGCTCCTCAGTAAACTTGAGGCGTATGCCTTAAATCCTGAACTCATTGCATGGGCTTTGAGGCTTAAAGGGGCAAAATTGCGCTGAGGTGCGCCTCTTATTGCACAATTTTAAACCATGGTTTGTATATTAATATCACAAATAATAATTAATTAATTAAACATCAAACTAATAAAATATCAAAAAAATTTAAAGGATTTAACTTTTTTGTAGGTTTTAAAGCTGTCATTTTTTTTATTTGGCAAGATTTAGGCTAAATTATGCTTAAATCCTTCTCAAATCAATTGATGTAAGTTTCCGTAGTATTTAAAGTTATCATTTTTATTGTTTGACAGAATATTTATGCTTAAATTTTCTTTAATCAATGTATTGCTTGCTATTTAATGTTATTTAATATTAATAAATATAGATTTTTAATGATTTTATATTGTGCGCTATGTTTAAAATGACGTGCACAGCTCTGTGCGCTATGCATCATGATTCCAACGAAAACTTTACGCCATGCTGCGTCATTCGCCGTTGACAAGTACAAGAAAGAGAGACTGAGAGAGATGTTAGAATTCATAGAATTTGAGAAGGGTAAAAATACCTTCTAATTATTATATAAAATCATCCCTATTTATAATCTATACAAGATGTCTTAATAAAGAAATAAATAACTTCTAATTGATACATAATTACCTCAATATAATCCTTCCTAATTCAGCTACCCAAATAAAGAAGGATATTGGCGTCATCCAAGTGAGTCTCCCACGGATTCTCATCCTGACCGTGAGATTAAATGCCAAGGGATGACTGAGATTTTGACACTCCCCCTCAAGCTGGAGACTAGCTTGCAATTACTCGCTCAGAGGTAGAGCTGCATTGGTTATGGATAGGATATCAACCACCAGAGAAAGCTGGCAATGAAGGCCGATTGTGGAAACTAGTATTACTCAACATTCTGGCAATGAAGGCCGATGATAGGAACCTGTATTTTTTCATAATTCCGGCAATAAAAGCCGGGAGAAGGACTAATATTTCTCCAAATTCTAGCAATGAAGGCCACAACCACAAAACAGAGGGCATAAGCGGTTTGGAATTACTCGACTCTCGTTCGATGTCCTACGGCAATGAAGTCCGCTTGCACAAAATAGAGGGCACGAGCTGTTTGGACCGCACGACTCCAACGACAATGAAGGCCGCTTTCTCCTCTCTGCTTTCTTTGATTCGTATATCCCACGCAATTCCGACAATGAAGGCTGGTAAAAGAATCAATATTCTTTAAAGTTTCGATAATTTTTTATAGTAATGAAGACTATCTATTGGATTTTGGGCAACAATGAAGGCTTCCAAAATAAGATCCCTTTGATCTTAAGTTACTTCAATAAAGGCCGATTTTATATCAGTAATGAAGGATGGTTTTTGTTTTCACTTATTAAGGCTTTCTCGGTTTTTTAAACCGAACCGGCCCAGCCTTGATTTTAAGGCTCGGATCGGGGCAAGCTAGGCACGGGCAAGGTTCCATCCCTTTAGTCGCAAGAGCAGATCCATGTGAGCGAGCCTCCAGACGAAGCTTCCGATTTCGATTGATTCCTCCAGACGAGGTTTCCAGATGTGCGAATCTTGCGTGCGAGCCTTCTGAATGGCAGAAGGCGGTGTCTGTCTCCCAAGTCACACGCAGGCGTGCCGATTATGAGCTTGGTCCCGCGAGTCGCAGTGGCTTCCTCCCGCGAGTCGGATAGGTGGCTTCGTCCAGCGAGTCGCAGGTGTCCGGCGATCGGATCGGGCTTCCGATCGGCTTCGGCTTCCGCACAGACGGTTCTGAACGGGTACGACACTTCTGCTCCTTCGTTTCCTTCGTCTCCTTCGTGGATGTTCATTAAGGCTCCTTCGACGATAGTTCTGACGAAGTCGAGGCTTCCGTCTGTGGCAGCAACTGGCGGAATCGACACTTCCATCTGGCAGAATCGGCGGCCTCTTACAGCGTCAGACGGTTGGATCGTTCGACAATGAAGGCCTCTCGATCGGCTCTGATACCATGTTAGAATTCATAGAATTTGAGAAGGGTAAAAATACCTTCTAATTATTATATAAAATCATCCCTATTTATAATCTATACAAGATGTCTTAATAAAGAAATAAATAACTTCTAATTGATACATAATTGCCTCAATATAATCCTTCCTAATTCAGCTACCCAAATATAGAAGGATATTGGCGTGATCCAAGTGAGCCTCCCACGGATTTTCATCCTAACCGTGGGATCAAATGCCAAGGGATGACTTTGATTTTGATAGGAGAAACCAAAATTATTTTCATTCCATGCATTTTCTTACAATAAGTAGTGCATTTATAATATTTGGGTAGACCAAGTTTACAATATAGAACCGATCTACCTAACCAAACTTAAAAGAAAGACCAGACTAGTGTTTTATTACATACGTGGACTCATTTGTTATTTATGCTTGTGAAATATGTTTGTGCCTTCTTTTTTGGTAGGCTTTCTAGTTGATGGTTGTCCCACTATGTTTGTAGCACATGTTTCGCATCTGATTTTTGAATTCAATCCCATATGCTATGTCTAATACACTGCTAGTTCCAATGTATTAATACTAATAGCCATTGTTATGATACTCTTGTGCTATACTACATTTTCTTCTCTTTCTTGTTGTTGACAGTTTTAGGGCTTTCTATTTCTTAATGATGTTTCAAATGTTTTATACTGCTCGTTAGATTTCATACTTTCCATGTTAACTGGCAAACTCCAACACATTTGAGAAATTTTGTTCCATTTGACATTTTATCTCCTTTTGTTCCATGTTGATAAACGACAATGGCATGAAAACAACTTCTCTACCCTTACCTGAACTTGTTGAGCATATCTTCCACTATGGTTCCTTCCAAATGCATGGTATAACTCACTCATATCAGTATTTATCAAGATCATAGAAAGAGTTCATAATCGTTTTTGTTAGCAAATTGGAGAAAATAAATATTTGGTCCATTACAAACTCTTTTACTAACCGCACGTGTGCTATTTTATTCTATTATCTATTTCGAGCTTTCAACCAAGGTTCTTTTATGTTTCTGAAAATTTTTATTCCTATCTAGTCATATTATGCACTATTCTTCTAGTTGTGTATGCGGCAAGGTTCTGGTAACCGGTTTCTTCAACATTTCTGGCTGTAAAGAGCTTACAGAGGCAACATAAGAGCAATTGCAGTGTCCATAGACCGCACAATAGTGTTGTTTACTATCCTAACAATGGTTATGCACAATTCTTTTCAAATCAGAATGCCAGATGTTTGCAGTCTTGAATCAGAAACGTAGTTTCTTCCAAGACTGACTATCAAACAACATCTAGTTATAGAATCACTTGATCCTGTGTGATCAACTTCACCTTGTTGGCTACTAATCATTTATAGAACATTACTAATAAATGTGTATTCTAAGGTTATTCTACTTATCCTGTTGAATTATCATCATATAGTCTTGCCATAGCGCATTATTAATATTATTTTGCATTAATGGCTTAGGTACTTTACTTGCTTAAATTTTATTTTCCGGAGTTTTTTCTTACATGTTTTATCATATTCTTTTTATAGACTTTGAAATGTCTGATGCCCAGCAAGAGCATGCATTGGCTGTGGAACGTCTTGAACCAAGGCTAACAGCGCTCAGGATAGAGCTCTGCCCAAGTCACATGAGCGAAGGGTGCTTTTGGAAGATATATTTTGTGCTTCTGCATTCTAGATTGAATAAGCATGATGCTGAACTTCTGTCAACTCCACAGGTAAGCTGTTTCCTTTGTTTTTCCATTGTTTCTCTTTGATAACTATCCTAAAATTTAGTAAGTAGCTTTTAATTCGTTATGCTGTAGATGTTTCAATCTTACTTGGATGGTAAAGCTGCTTTTTCTTGATTTGCTAGCATTTTGACTATATATTTTTCTTACTTTCAAAATCTTTTTTTTATATTGTTCAGCTTTTCCTGATTGATGCATAGATCATTACCATTCAATGGCCGTAAACTGCAAGGGATGATAAATTTAGTAAAAATAAAATAAAATTGTTAGTTGAATTATACTGCCCTGCTTTGAGTAGAAGTGACTAATCTTTAACAAATAAATTTAAATTTACATGCACTAAATTTTGTTTCAATATTATTTATATGTAATTAGTGATTAAGTAAAGTTGTTGATATAAATAATCCGATAGAAGAAAAATTTTATAGCTTTAAACTTTAATTCAAATTGAAAATAATGACATGTATGGTTAGTAGTTAAGCATTGATTAAAATAGTTATTTCAAAATTAAAATGGCATTATAGTGTATTTAAAAAAAATTACAATACATGTACTAACCTCATGAAGTATACAATATGAGAGGGGAGAGTCCTTGAAAAACTATCTTGCAGATTTAGGAAGCAATCAATAGAAACATTTCACCCTGTGCACTAAATTCTATGGTTAAGAGCATTTGTTAATCGGTGTTTGGAGAAGAATCAACAGAATAGCTAATTGCATAAAATAGAAAGTTTAGCGAGGAGGAAGAGATGGAAAAGGGTTGCTTTTCTGTGTGAAGGCTAGGTCAATTTTTTTTTAGAAGACTTTTGTCAGTAATGTGGAGAATGGAAATTTCTGTGAAAGGAGGCAACATCTCAGCAGTATACATATTGCAGACACAGAGCACTGTGAGCGCAGTCGGAGGCAACATCTCAACAGTATATAAAATGCAGAGACCGAGCACTGTGAGCGTAGTCTCTCCAAGCAACGCCAAAGTCAATCTCATCAAATGTTAAACTCATTGAGTAGCAATTTAGTCAAGTCTCACACAAGTGATGCGTTACAGAGCGAGAAAAGCTGAGAGGAGAAGAATTGAAGCCGGTTTAGGTTGTGTTATGTATATGAGATTAGGTTTCAATATAATAAAATGCTATATTTCACTAAATAATTGATGTATAGTAGTTGTTCGTTTCACTATATATTTACTAAATTGGTTTAAGCACATTCTCAAACATATAACAAATCAATTAAACTGACTGACTTTTATTATGTGGTTCATTCTTGGTTTAGTTGATGTTTTTGTCCACCCATAACAAAAAGATTTGGTTAACATCAGTCTACCTTTTCATGATACACTTAATAAGAATGAATGGAGAATGAGAATTCATTAAATTCACCCATATAAGGCCAATGATGTTGAGAATTACGATGATGATATCACGGATTATCACATCAATACAAATTCAGTAGATTAACTGATAGGAAATATGAGAGCTTTTAACCCAAAACTTCAAGCCACAAGCAAAAATTGGAAGAAGAACACGCCTCGAATCACTTTTATTGCAAGAATTATGAAAGAAAAACTACAAGATACAATGATCTTCAATTGGAGAGGAAGATCTGACTCTCCCAAACCCTAGCCGTTAGCTAGAGCCCAAAATTTCCTAAGCACAAATTAATTTCAGCCAAAATCAAGCATAACGCTCACCCTAGGGTGAAAACAACTATTAAAAGCATGCAATTCAAAGTAAAATACCAAAACAACTCCTTCAATTCGAATTTCTCTCTCACCCACCCCCTGCTCTCTCTTCGTTAGTGTGTGGATTCCATCCCAAGGGGGGTGGACAATGCCCAGGGCGAAACCCGGCTTCCGTCTAGTATATACAAAGACCAGTCTAACAGTAAACCCCTCCCAAAGAACTCTCTTGTCCTCAAGGTGGAAGAATATAAATTGATGCTTCATCCTCTCATATGGCTCTCATGTGGCATCATATTCGGGTAGGCTATTCCGCTTTATCAGCGTTTCCTTACTTCCCTGTTGTACTCCAACTCTATTAATTTCAAACCACCTCCCTAATCTTTTATCAATGTCATTTGAAACTCCGCATTGGCTGCATGATCCCCTATAGCTCTCATTAAATGTGGCATGTAGAAAACCAGGTGTATTATAGCGGTCGGTGATAACTTCAGTTGATATACTACTGCTTCAATCTTCTCCAATATTTCATCTACTCTGCCTAAAGTGCGTCAAATGAGGTGTATCTCTTTCGTACAACACTTTAAAATGAGTTATCTGGGACACCGAATGATACAAAGTGTTGCACCAGTACTTTGCCCACACCAGCAACTTGGCCCACAGCCGAGGTGTCTCTGAAGGAAAGCATTGCAGGTATGTCTCCAGGCTCTTGTTTATCACCTCCGTCTGCCCCTTCGTCCTTCCACCTTCTGTCTGGCCCTTACCATGATTTTGAGAGACACAATAGCATTGGAGAGCCTTGCTCTCTCTTAATCACCATCTTTCTCCCTTCCACCATCAACACCATCGTCAGCATGCCCCGATTTACCTTGGTATACCCCAAGGTCTGCAACCATCTTATCCCCAAGATGACATCAGTGCTATCTAGCTCCAATGGGAAAAAGTTCTCCCTTACCTAGACTCCCTGTATAGTCAGGACCACTCCCCTACACAAGCCTCTACCTATCTCCATATTCCCAATACCCATCATCACCCCATATCAACCTATGTCCACCAATTTCACCCCCAATTGGTGTATGACCATGTTGGAGTTGAAGTTGTGGGTAACCCCACTGTTTATCAACACCACTACCTCCCTGTATGCTATTTTTCCTCCTAGCTTCATATTTGTGATTCATAGTGAACCCCACCACTGAGTTTAAGGAGACCTCTGCCATGTCTAAATGCAGCTTTTCCTCCTTCGCTGATGCCTCACTCCCACCTCTGATGAGGACATTAGATTTCGACACGTGTACCATCGCCGGATACGCAGATCAACTGCTACGATCCAGAGCCTCTACTTCTGATTTATTTGCATTTTATTTTATGCTTGTATTTCTTGTTTCCCACTTTGCCCCTGTGGGCATTGAATCATTTATGTAGCCCGGAAGGGCATTTGTGTCATTTCCTTTTATTTCATTTTGGCCTACTTATATGAGGCCTCTTGCATTGTAATAGTTTAGTTTTTGATGAATGAAAATTTGCTCATGTGTTCTCTTTGTGAGTTCATTTCTCCTAGATCTCTTAGTGAGTTCCTCGGAGAAGATAGATCTCTTTGTGAGTTTTAGGTTTTCTTTCCAAGCTATTTTTGTGGGGATTTGGATTGAGGATAATTGAGGTGAGTGAATTCGTGACCACTCAAATCCCTAGAAATTTTCCTTCTTCCTCCCCCTTGCTCCTTGCCTCCGCCCCTCCCTGCTCCGTCCAGGCCGCCGGCCTCCTGGCAGCCACCACCCGCCGGCCGACCAACCCCACCACCTTGGCCCTTGCCCCGCCCCCTTCCCCTAGCCGCCGGCCCATCTCCTTGAGATCTCAAATTTGAATTTTCAAAATTTTCAAGAGCTATAAAGGGTTTCCAAAATTAGCTCCTTAATTTTAGGCAATCATTTTAATTGAATTTCAATTCAAATTTGAAATTTAAAATTTTCCCAATTGATTGCTCATCTATTTGGAAACTTTCCTATCTTATAAAATTTGAAATTTAATTCAGATTTTAATTAAACCCTTGATTAGTGTTGTGGTCCCCACTCTACTTATGACAATTGTGCTCCTCCATCTCTCTATGTGGCCGGCCCCCTTCACTGGGCTTCTCTCTCTCCTAAATTAATTTCTATTCTCCCCCAATTCAACCCCCTTAATTCCCTATTCCCCCCCCCCTCATCCTTTATTTGAATTAATTTGAATTTTTCAAATTAATCCCCTCCCACCCACTTAAACCTGAAATAATTTCAGATTTTTCTGTTTTTATTTCTTGGTGCCCTCTCTAGCTGATCCCCTCGAGCACCCAAGCCAACCCAACCCTCCCTCCAAGCCGCCATCTCCTCTTCCCCTCTTCCCTTTTGGGTGCTCCTTTCTTTCCCGGCAAGGATGCATGGCGGATCCCGAAATTGATAGCGGATTCGTACTCGACGCCTACGGAGACATCCACATCACCCGTTCCCCATTCTTCGACGTCTGGTTCGATTTTGACGACACCGTGGAAGATTACTTAAACCGAATCCTCCCCACCGTCGTGGACATCATCGACGATCAATTTTCGGACTACGATTGGACCATCAACGGCCATCCACCCGCTCCTCCAACTCCCGCTTCTTCCCCGACGACGAATCCTATCAGCATCACTTGTGTGATGGTGCTATCTCTAAGTTTGCTTACGATCCTCTTCCGTTAACCGCCACGTTCAAGAGTTGATTAAAGGATCTCAAGGTGAAGGATCTATATTTTAAACGTGAGGCTTTTGGTTATCATGGCTATTTGCATCATTTAGATTTCTTTTGGTTATTATTTTGCAAAGCTCTTGTAATCCTCAAGTTTAATCAATTACCATGGCTTACTCTGTCATGACTTTTCTTGAACTTTACTTGAGTAAGCTAGACTTTAGTGTTAACATGCGAAGTTAATAACCTTTTATAAATCTCTAAAGTGCAATTCTTGTTTTCGCATTTGGTTTCACATCAACCTCCCTCAGGTTTTCTTCCTCGTCATCGCAGACAGTGAGAATATGAAGAATTCGGTCCTTACACCTGTGCCATGGTGTATACTTCTCATTACATCTGAAACATAATCCTTTTACCCGCTTATCATGCACCTCTACTTCTGTAAGTCGCTTGAAGTTACCTCCCGACGCACCTCCCATTGGAATCCCCCATGGTGGTCCTTGAGGGAAAATGCTCTCCACTTCATCCTCATCTTCCTAAACTGTCTTCCCCTTCAGACCAGCCGTAGGAATAACCGAAGATGCCTTTTATTGCATTTCAATCAACTTCTTCATCATGTCTTTTATCTTTCCAAAGCAGTTCTCCACGGACGAGAACCTTCCTTCAATGGATGTGAATCTTCCCTCCATTTCGGAAAATCTCTCCTCCATCCCAGCCTTGTGTTGATCCATCTCATATTCCAACACCTCCATCTTCGCCGCCATAGGTCCCAAAAAAATGCTATGATACCAATTTGATAGGAAATAGGAGAGCTTTCAACCCAAAACAACAAACCACTAGCGAAAATTGGACGAACACACCTCGAATCACTTTTATTGCAAGTATGAAAGAAAAGCAACAAGATACAAGGATCTTCAATTGGAGAGGTAGATCTAACTCCCAAACCCCAGCCGACAGCTAGAGCCCAAAACTCCCTAAGCACAAACCAATTTTATCCAAAATCAAGCATAAACCTCACCCTAGAGTGAAAATAACTATTAAAAACATGCAATTCAAAGTAAAAAACCCAAGCAGCCCCTTCAATTCAATTTTCCCTTTCACCTGCCCCTCCTCTATCTTCATTAGTGTGTGGACCCCCCCACCCCAAGGGAGGCGAACAATGCAGTAGGCGGAACCAGGCTTCTGCCTAGCGTATCCAATGGCCGGTCCCTCCTGGACCGGTCTAACAATAACCTAAGCTTGTATGTATTTAGCTTTATTTACAATCTTATCCTGTTTGCTTTATCATTCACTTCAATACAATTTTAATGAGTCAACCTAAAGCTTTCTGAGGTCAATTACAAGTCAGATGCAATTCTCAATCTGGCCAATTCTGGGCTCATCTTTATGTGCTGGCTGAATTTAAAATTTTGGCTTATAGTACACAATTACGAACTTTGTCTAGACATCCTTTGGTTATTTGTCACACAAAGTCTTGGTTTCTTCCATTTAGCATTCCCACGACCATGTGCTAAGGATGGCTTTATGCAGCTATGAATCGTGTGAAACAATTGTACCATTTTTCTCATTTGCAGATTGTGCAAGCCAGAGCGATGCTATTACAAGATCTTCATACCCGTACAAAACCAAATACAGAGGGGTCAGCAAAAAGTTCCTCCTCTGTGAAAGAGGATGAGCAGTATGAGCCCTCTGTTCCAAGCGAAGGGAGAGTCAGTGTCATGCCAGTTTCAGGCATCACTTCTTCTGAAAACCTGCCATCACCACCACAACCTGAGGACATATTCGTGTCCATTCCTGTCATAGATATTGAAACGGAGAAGCACCCAGTTGAAAGTACCGTGGTGAAAATCATAGACAAATCTGTCATTGAAGAAGACCCATCAGTACAGTCCAAAAAACAGAAAGGTGAAAGCTATGAAGATGATTGGCTTGAGGATGAGACTGGTGAAGCCAGCGGCTCAGGAGAAAATGCTCTTCCTTTAGGAAACGATGAAGATGTATCCTTCAGTGATCTGGAGGAAGAGGATGACAAAGCAATTTCGAAGTCCAGTCCCACACAGGTGAAAGAATCAAGGGGCTGGGTTCAGCTGAACAAGAACACAGAGAGTCCAGCAAAACGAAGCAGCTCCACCAGCCCACAGAACAAGGACGACTGGTTAAATGTTGATGAAGTCGACGCCGAATGAATGCTTTATGCCTCTCATAATTCCATCGTTTTATTGTATGTGCTTGTGTTTTTTGTTACTGATTTTCTGTACATAGCTCCTCGTTGGTCCTTCATCTCCCACTCTCAATTGGATTTGAATCTGTGTCATCAATCATTTGTATTAAAAGTTAATCTGAATGTGAACTTACGTGATTAAATTTGGTGCTGTGGAGGTCTGAAATCTGTATTCAGATGCACGCATTTGGTGCTTGAGAAGGCAACAACCTGCACCAACTTACCAGTTTATATCTCTGCTCTGAAGAAAAAAATATTACGTGCAGCATCCGGATACTTTCAGAGATCAATAAAAATGTGCCACGTCGCTTCAAAAATATATTGTGCTTGGTACTGCTCGGGGCGTAATTGGACCGGAGAACCGTCCAGTGTCCGCACAAAATAATTGTTCCTACTGTGAAACCTGTTTCCTTGGATCATGCAGTTACTACACAGCAGAATATATCATGCACTGCTAAGTATCCTTTTAAGAAATTAAGCTACAAATAGCCTAAGAGGCTTCATTTTTTGCAATGAAAATGGTAAGTTCTTTTTTAGTGCTTGTTAGTTAGGATATGAATCTACTTCAATTACTGTATGTGTTGCAGTTATCAATCCAAATCCATCCAATCAGCTTAGATGATTGGGATTAATTGCTTTTGTTTTTTTTTTTATAATTATTTTGGAATTTAAAAAGATAATTATAATCACCTAAAGGGTATAATTATTGGAGAGGATTCCTAATAAGCGCTTATAGATATTTGAAGAATTGCATCCTATTCATTCAAATTAATTTAATTTAAACATTATTTTTGTGATATATCATAAAGAAGTTGCATCTGTTTTTCAGTGCATATTCAGATAATAAAGATTTCATTTGGAACAAATTTTTTATCATTTTTAAAATAATATTTTAATAAAAAATTTATACAAAAAATAATTTTAATAATAAGAAAATTGTCCCGACTCAAACGAAACTTCAAATGTCATGATTTATAGCAGTGTAAAAAATAGCTTTTGAAATCTATCATGTAACGGAACTTTTGCGGCAAGGTCTTCCCATCTCTTATTAAGGTCATCTCCAACCGAAAGTCAAACGAGCGTATGGCATCGTTCGGTCCCTTCAACCACCAAATTTTCTGTCATTTCCTTGCAGGTGAACAGTGCGACGCACCCACGTCATTTTCCGCTCTCAACTGGAAAAACACGCGAAAGGAAGAAGGATCGTTACCTTCTCAGAAACACATAAAATGGCGTTCGCATTTTGAAGTTTTGCGTTACTTTGCCGTGAAAAGTGGAGTTCTCCGTTGGAGATGCCCTAAATGCTACCTGGATTTGCTCTGTTGCATTGAAACTGTGTTTAATTTGATGGAATAGAAATAAGAAGTAAAAAAAATTGCTAATTACTTACTTTAATTTCAAAGCTAATAATTCTTAACTAATAGCTAAGGTGGATAGTATCAGTGTACTAAATTCCTTTTAACTTTTGATCAAATTAAAGAGAACCAATTTTTAATGAAAACGAAATGAAGCAATGTTTATTAGGAGCTTAACCCTAATATAAGAAGAAGAGAAAAAAAAAGCTAATTGCTCAGTTTAAATTAAAAGCTAATTACTCTTAAAATAATAGGCTAAGGTGGATGGCATTGTTGCGTGTCAGAAAATTTAAGTTGGTAGAGTTTATGTTTCACGTCTTAGTAATGTGCAAAGATTCAGCACGAATAGATAAAAATAATAATACCAGCGTGGAAAAATCGGAAAGGGATAAAATCATAGGGCCTGACTCAATTGCAAAATTCACTATGTAGTGAGTTATGTAAATATCCTCCTTTCTTAACTGTTGAAGAAGAGGAAGAGTATAAAGATCAATAAGGCTTAATTTTCTTAAGAAGGATTTTAGAAAATTGATGTCCATGGACAGAAAAATGTACCCAACAACTAGGTTAATTTTTTTTAGTATTATGGAGAAAGTGATGATTTTTTTAAGATGATCGTCGGTGATGATGGAAATTAGCTGGTGATGGTTATCGAAGACAATAGCTAGAAAATGCAATAGAGCTCTTACTTGTTCTATATTCTCCCTTTTTTCTCCCTCCTCATGTAAAGAATGAGGGCATACTTATAGATTTTTGAAAGTGGTATGCTCCATAAATATGAAGAAAATCTAGGACAAATTAAGGGTGCTCCATCATATGGTACATATTGATTTTTTTTAATCCAAGAGCTTTCATCAAACATTTAAGTGTCTTAATGATGTCAGAATCAAGTGATCTTATGCTCTTGGATTCATCTAGTCAAGCTGCTCGATTTGACTATAAATGTCATATTTTGAAATCTTTTAAATACTAAATTAATACTTTTTAGATTCCAAGTATGCTTCAGCTTTTTGATTCGAACCCATTTGGACTCATATTGGACCGATTTTCATGTCATTAGGCTTGTCTTGTCAAGACATTTAATTTGAATGCAAAGATATTAGAGTATGGATGGTCCCAAATTTAATTTTGAAAGTTTTCAGTTCAAATATTCCTCAAGATTAGTGCCTAATTAAGATGATTTTCGGTGACATATCAAGCATCATAGAACTTAATTCATTTAAATTTTTTAATAAATATCAGAATATAGAGATCCAATTTTTAATGAAAAAATTGAAGCCATTTATGAAGATGCTTACCCTAATAGGTGATTTTTAACTTTGTAGTGTTATCATTTATCAAGACATGTAGAGGGTTGATTTGACCATCATTTATCCTGTATTAAACAAAATTTTTTTGTTTAAATGAATTATTGAAGTCAAAATTGAGGCTACATAATAATTTTGTTATATAACCTGTTGAAAAAAAATAATAATAAAAAAAAACTCTCATGAGTTCCTTCAATCCTATTATGTGTAATTTTTACCAATCTTCTTCTCATGAACCCCTCACAAAAATTTTTTATGCTATAAATTTTTTTAAAAAAATAATAAGAAAACCAATCTTCTTCTCATGAACCCCCTCAAAAATTTTTATGCTATCAAATTTCTTTAAAAAATAATAAGAAAACTGAAACATATCTTTCTTAGCATTGAAATATTGAACCAAAAATATCAAAATTAGATACTAAATATGATATTTTATTAATACTTTGCTTCTTAAAAGTTAGATACATCTAGGTGTCTTATTTACGCTTCATACCACCAAAAGAGAGCCAATGTAAATTTACCTGGACTGCTTCTTTTTATTTTATGATAATTTTATTGACTTTGACCATCAAAATAAAAATTAGATGTTTGAATCCTTAGAAAACAAATAGCTTAAACTACAAGTAAACAACCGAAGATTGAGGTTTCATTTGGGATATTTTTTTTACAGTATTTAAAAGCCGTTTTTTAGTTTTTTTTTTAATTTTATATTAAAAAATTATTTTATAAAGCAGTATGAAAACTACCTGAAACAAAACCTTAATTAGTTGAAATCAACTATGATATTAATATAAAAATCCTTTTAGTAGATCTTCAAGTTAATTTTTATTTCTAAAGTGAAGGTTAGGTTAAAACCGTACACCTGTTAGTGATATTATTTTTGTTAGTAATTTTTGTAAGTGATGTAGGAACATCTTAACTAAATACAGCTTTAGGAATATGTTATCCAAGTTTATTACTACTAGCTTCTAGAATGTTCTTATTAGTTTATAAATATGCAAGTATTGTAGTAGGAAAGATCAATGATGAATATTATATGATTTTAAGCCTTTGAGCTTTGTTTGTTCTCTTGTTCTTGATGTTCCTTCTAGCAGATTCGATTCTTCCGCCGACCCACTACATCAGTAGGGTTGAATCTCTATCTAAGACTTTGTCATATTAGATGAGTTGGATGAATATTGATCAAACTTATTATTGATCTCACTTGTTTGCAATGGTGGGTTATTTGATGTGGAGTAACTATCTTCGAGTGATGAATTTGTCAGACCCAAGCGATCGGTTTTGAAGACCGATAATCTTTATGGTGTCAATTGTAAAGAGATTATCTTCTTTAACGATCATGCTACAATGGCTAGCCAATTGATTCTCCTATGAGTTGCTTTGACCTCATCTATATACTAATCTTGGATCAGTAAATAAAAGCTTATAATTTGTCTTCTAAAATGGAGAAACTTGAGAGCAAAGTTTAAGGCTTGCTTACAAACCTTACGAGTTTGGATTTTGTGCGAGTGGTACAAAGCATGAGGTATGAACATCTTAAAAATATTTGAAAACTATGTAATGCTATTGTATAACATATTGTTGCTCTACCAAATATATGAATCCTTAACTAATATTGAATATTTGTCTTCATATCTTCACATATCACTCACCTTAAAGTAAAAATGATTTTAAAGCACATAATTAGTTTTTAATCAAAAGATTAATAATTAAAAGAAAGAAATTAATTCCTATTCTAGAAATATTTCTAAAATAAAATCTCTAAGTCAATCAAATATTAATCGTAAAAAATAACCTATCTACAGTCATTAATGCTCATCATTTATTACTGATTTAATGATATATATTGTTAAAAGATATAGATGACTTACGCTTAATTTGATACGACTTTCTTACTTTCCAAAGAAGCTTTCTAGTACAAATTTTTGTATTAGAAAACGGTTTTAAAAGGCAGTAAGAAAGTCGTCCCAAATAAAATCTGAGAGTACTAAAATCTTAATTTTTAGTTTATATGCATGAGATACTGCTATTATTATGACAATTATAGATATTACCTCTATTTAAATCATCATATTTATTATTCAATAAAAATAAAATCATCAATTTTTTAGAAACTATTTTTTTTATACCAAAATTTAAGATATATATAAATTTATGAAAAAAAATTACAAATTTTAGTATTTTACTTGCCAAAGTTGTTAATTCCCAAAGTCAAGTAAATGCTCATTTATTATACGGCCAAACCGATTACTGAAAATCATCTCTTTCGGTACTACTTTCAAAAGGTTAAAAGTAATTTTGCCAAATAAATATGTCGATACTTTATTCAAATTTTGATTAGACTTGTTGAATTTATGTCTTTATTGTTATTAATATTAAAAGCTCATGCCATTAAATTGTATAGGACACCAATTACGGATTAAAAAAAAAACCAAACGGATAGGCAGATCTCCACATAAAGTCAATCTCACCACCCCTCCATTAATTCCACCAGATCTGCTGTTCATTTCCCCCAAATCACAATAAAAAAAAGGAAAAATAATAAAAATATTCTCATTAATTTTTTATTATAATAATTGAATAAAGTATAATAAATAATTAATAAAATTTATATTAATCTCTAATTCATTTCAAAATAAAATAAAATAAAAGTCTAATCCAGCATATAATCTCCAAAGTGAGTGTTTGATGGTGTAACTAATCTCTCGGCAGAACTTAGCGAGACCACTCATGGGCATCAGACCTACACTTATTTTGCCCCCATTAAAAAAGTTTTTACATTAATAATAACAAACATTTATTTTATAATGTGGGACTACCTTTAAGAAAAATAACTTTTATTATAAATATATATTTTTTTAAAAAATAAAATTTTGAAATATCATATATTAAAAATTTTGATTATAAAATTAGCTCTCATAAAAAATAAATAAATAAAATCAGAATCAAATAAAATTATGATTTTAATGAAAAAATAAAACTATATGAAAATCTATCTCAAACATAGCCTTAGCGTCAAATCTCACACGCAGAACATATAATAATTTTATTTATTAGCTATACGATATGATACATAACCCGCAGCTACATAAGCAGGAGATCACCACCACTCATCACTCATCATCATCACTACTCAAAAGCTAAACCAGATCGACCTCATAGAAGCAGAGAAGAAGCTCATCAACAGTATGCGACGCACTTCTTCTTACAGTCAACAGTGCATCCACCACCGCCGCCGCCTCCGCCGTACCCCTTGCCGGAGCTGCTATACGAGGTGAAGCACTTAGCCGGACAGATCAGCCGTTTGTTAAGACAGGGTCCCTTTTCCGAGCAGACAACGCTGGGCTGAACAACGCCGTCGCGAGAGTGACCGCCGGAGGGGCCGCCGTAGCCACCGCCATATCCGCCGCCGACGTTTCCCCAGCCGTTGTTGGTTCCGCTTCCACCGAAGCCTGGGATGTTGAACTGACTACCAGGGCCGAAGAAGCCGCCGGCGGCGGGATCGGGGTTGCGGGAGGCGGAGGTGGAGGCGGTGAGGAGGAGGGCGAGGAGGAGGAGGGAGGCGGCGGCAGCGGTGGGGGTCATGGTTTGTGGTTGATTTTGCTTGTGTGAGGGTTTTTTTTGTGGGGAGACGGATGAGATTTGTGTAATAAGAAGGATGGCGAGGGGGAAGTGGGAATAAATAGGGGGAGGGAGAGGCATTAAAGGAGCGGAGAGTGGACGGTTGAGAGAGAGAGCGATCGCACTTTGTGTTTCGTTTTCTTCATCTTTGAAAAAAAAAAATGTGTCAGACGTTAATAATTTTTTAAATTCTGATTTTTATTATTTAAAATTTTATATTGTTTATTTTGATTAAATAATCCTTCATTCAAATTTTGCAGGAAATGTTAAAGATTTAAAAAAAAAATTAAAAGTTAAAATTTAAGGATATATATGTGAAAAAAATTGTGCTTAAAACATTTTTTTTATTTCTGTAATACTTTAGACTTCATTTAGGATGACATTCTTACTACTTTTTAAAACAGATTTCTAGTACAAAAATTTTATTTTTTACATTAAAAAGCTATTTTAAGAAACAGTAAGAAAGTTATCCCAAACGAAACCTTGATCGCTATTTCTTATTAATATTTTTTAAATATTTGGAGATTAGGATATTATAAAAAAATGATTATAGAAATATAATTTTATATGTGATGTTTGTACTAATTTTAAATATTTATTTGCGTTAAATAGGTCATAAAATATATAAAAAAATTATCATATTTTTAGATAAAATATTATATTTTAAATAATGTTAATTAAAATTTAATAAAGACGAGTCTTACAATTATTTGATCTATTTTGAGATAAGAAATATATAATTTTTTTATTTTTAATGACTTATTTTTTAAATTTATTTTATAAAATAAACTTATCTTTTAATAAATCCAATAGTTTTCATTTTTATTCTAACGATATAATATGTTTTTCTTAATTCAAAAAATACTAATATGAAATATAGAAATTGTTGAAGCCTGCATAAAATTCAATAAATAATTATTTTTTAATATATATAATGATTACAAAAAAGAAATAAAAAGAAAATATCGATTTATTTTTCCTCCTTAGAGAAGAGAGCAAGAGACTCCGGTCGGGATCAGTAATTGTGCGGCGACTGCTTTAAAGCGCAACACGGCTTCGATAGTGCGCTACGATTGAGCTTTGGCTGGTCGGTCTCTGAGTCCTTTTTTTTTATTTTTTTAAATTATTTTATGTCACAAATTTTCTTAACAGCTATAAAAATATATTTTTTCTCTGGACAGATATCTTAGTTTTTCCCTAAAAAAACAAGATAGATATCTTTGTACAAAAGACATTAATTTAAGGAGTTATTTAATTACAGGAATTTCGGCTTTATTTATTTTTTCAGAAATATAGAATAAAATAAATGCATATATTCTTGTTGCATCCTAGAATATTCACGACGATAGAGAAATATAAAATATAACATCTTAACTTTGTATTCAGATCCAACACACAATCATGTAAGATAGATGGCGTATTATACATAAGAGACACCAAAATTTTTACGTGAAAAACTCTTAAATAAGGGAAAAATTATGAGGTCTAGCAAAGTTTGAATGAATCCACTATTATTTGAAGTAGATTACAAATGAGGCCCCTCCTTGGGGGAAAGACTTTGGTTTGATGTAACAAATATACATCATACATAGTGCATTTCATGGTAGAAATTGGAAGAATAAGAATTGATATGTTCGTTTGGTCAGCAGAATCATAGTTGACTGGCAATGGAGGATGGAAAGACCGTATTTAGGTGACGGTGGTCGGAAGGACTATGACAGACGACGGAGGTAGGAAGGACCGTAGTCGGGTGACGGTAGTCGACGAGATGGTGGTTGACGAGACTGTAATTCATGGTCGATGAAGGTTGGAAGGACAGTAGTGAAGGGCGTTAAAGGTCGGAAAGATCATAGTATGGTGATAGAGGTCGGGAGGACCATTGTTTGGTGATATAGGTTAGAAGGATCGTAGTCGACAAGGGACATAGGTCGGAAAGACCATAGTCTCGCGATATTAGTTGTAAGGACCGTAGTCGACTGACATTGGAGGTCGAAAAGATCATAATATGGTGACAGAGGTCGGGAGGACTGATGTCTGGCGATATGGGTCGAAAGGATGATATCATAGTCGGCAGACATTGAAGGTCGAAATGACAGTAATATGGTGACCAACATAAGTTCAGGCATCAGGTGGTGGTCTGGTAGAAGTTCGAGCATCAAGTGGTGGTCCGGTAAATGTTCGAGCATCAGGTCGGGGACCGACATAAGTTCGGGCATCATGTGGTGGTATGGCAGAACTCTGGGAGTCAAGTGGTGGTCTGGTAGAAGTTCAGTGTCAGGTGTTGGTCCAACAGAACTCCGTACATAAAGCGGTGGTTTGGGAGAAGTCCAACGTCATGTGGTGGTCCGATAGAAGTTCGGGCATCATGTGAGGGTCCGACAGAAATTTGGCATCAAAGGTGGTACGGTAAAAGTCCGGTGGTCATGAAGAAGTCCGAGCATCAAGTGGTGGTCTGGCAGAAGTCCGGGCATCATGTGGTGGTCAGGAAGAAGTCCGAGCGTCAGGTGGTGGTCCGGTAGAAGTTCGGCATCATGTGGTGGCAGGGCAGAATTCTGGCATCAGCTGGTGGTCTGGCAGAACTCCAGGCGGTGGTCGAGGAGGAGCTAGGTAGCAATAGCGATCTTCGATCTTTATCTTGCTCTCTTGCTTTGGGGCCCCCCTTCAGGAGAAGTGATGTGTCTATTTATAGATTTCCTATAGTGACATAGCCTGTAAATATGAGGAAGATCGAGGGTAAATTGGGAGTTGTTTGGATGGACGGCGGATGTAAAATCCCTTGATTGTGGACCATTTATTGAGTATTTGAATGCATTAATGACATCAGAATTCGGTGATCTTGGGCTCGTTGGATGTCTCGTTGAGCCACTCGATTCGATTATAAGCATGCCACGTTTGAAAACCGTTTGGTAAACCAAATTTTGATTTGAATCTTCTAACAACATTTAGGGTCCGAAATTTGGACCCATTTGAGCTCGGATTGACTTGAATTTGGTGTCCTTGGATTTGTATGTTCGAGACATTTAGTTTGACAGTAAGTTTGCTAAAATCAAACTTTGGATGGTCATAATTTTAATTTCGGATTCCAACTTGATTTTGCCTCAAGATTCGTGTCCCATCAAGATAATTTTTTGGCGACATATCAATTCTAATAATTCAAAATTACATAATTTTTTATAAAATAAATAAATGAAAATTATTTTCAATAATTTATTTAATTAAGTATATGACGAACATTGAATCCCTCTAAAAATTAGATTTTCTTCTTCTCCATTTGATAATTTATTTCCTTCTCAAATTTAATAAAAATAAATATAATTAAATCGATTTTGTTTATTTAAAAAAAGGACATATAAATCCATTCTTTATGAAGAAGGCGCATCAAAGTCTCAAAGACCTATAAGATTCTGTACACACATAAATCACGTCTTTCGAATCACATTAGAAAAAAAGATAAGGGAATCAATCAAGATCTCATTGACAAATAATTTGAAATAAAAAAATAAAATATATATTCTAATCAAATTTTAATTAAAAATATATTTTTAAATTATTAGATATGATACAAGTACAAGATAAATTATTTATATATTATATTAATTTTAAAAAAATTAAATTTTAATCATTTTCTTATGAGAATATATATATCAACGTTAAAATAAATGATTAATCTATGCTTAAAAATAAGATAAATAATATTAAATTGTTAATACGTGCACGAGGAAAAGTGTATTTGGTAGGTAATGGTGGTGGGATGGATTGGACGTGGCACTTCGAAGCAGCCTTACACAGGTGGTGGTTAACAACCAATCACTATCTCCCATCTATATGATTATATCAGAAACACAATAAATATTTTATATATTCATAAAGGCTTCTTCGGGACATCATTTGGCTACTGTTTTTTCAATTTTTTTTTTTAATTTTATACTTTTTTTTGTTTTGATAAAAAAAATTATCTAAAAAAAACCTAAATAATATATTTTGGAATTTAAACGCATAATATTATTATATGACATTTTTATTTTGGGACATCATTTGTGGACAGTTTTATATGTCAATGGAATAGGCAAGATTATCTTATTTGAATGAGCATTGAGAGTAAGTTCTCCTTGAGTAAGTGCTCTTTTGGCTAGGATAAGAATAAGACAATAATCTACATCAGCTGTTGCCAGATGTCTACTAATGGCAAAAATCTTTCTAGTTGTTTGATTTTCACTTCTATCATTAAAACGACTACTCGCGGTACTCTATTGCTAGACTTTTTTACGTTCCTTGGTGATCATGCATCACTTTATCGCAAACAATTGATCAATATATAACCTCTTATTGTGACCTAAATTTGATATGTGTTTTATGAGTATGTCAATCCCCTATATTGTTTAGAGAATGGCCAAATCTATTGCTAATTATTCGTATATTACCAACGTTTCTTGTTGATAATCGAATGACGTCTACCAACAACTGATGTCAATGACCTTGTTGGCAAGAAGATGAGCATCAAATGTATGTAGTTGGCTAAACTAAATCAATAGCAAGTATTGAATGATGATCGGAGAGAACATAATAAGTATGACAATGGCAAAAGGCCAAACTATTTAGTCTCCTAATAGAGGAAGATTAGGCGATATGAAAACAAGTATCATACATCATCAAGTAAGAGACATCAAATGTTTATCATAAATAGACATAAAAGCAATAATCGATGAATTAAGAACAACATAAGTCTAACAAAGAAGAGCGATTAGTAGTAGGTGTCAATAAGTGACGACAACCATGATGGCTAAAAGGCAAATAATTGTAACCCATAGACAGAGTTGTTCGTTAGAGGGATTTTTATGTAGTGCATTAAAATGTATGGGTTTTATGTTTTTAGTGTTTTGTTAAGAATAAATTAAATTAAATAATTTTTTTAGGGTTTTGAATACATCCTTTAGATTATTTTTATGTATTTGAAATATATACATCTAGAATGTGCATATTCCAAATACTTCACACCACATGATGAAACATCATTAGCCTCTATGCCAATGTGTAACCTCCCCA